TGTGTGTGTGTGTGTGTGTGTGTGTGTGTGTGTGTGTGTGTGTGTGTTTAAATTTCTCATTTGCTGAAGACAGTTAAGGGTAGACTGTAGCTTCTGACCTCAGAATGGCCATTCTGAATTCAGGCCAGACACAGGACTCCATGTAAACATTTTGGAAAAGTTTATTTAGGGGACTAGCATGATATTAGTCTCTGTCCATAAACAGGGGAGGTCCAAATCTTGGGAATGGACAACAAGGATTCCTAGACACCCGTGTCAGGCTGGATGACTTCCAGGATCAAGAAAGAAAGGGCCTCCTTCTGAGTCAAGAAAACAGCTGGGCTATTATTTCTAAATCCAAAAAAAAAAAAAATCACTCATTAATAGCCTGACAGTGCAGAGTAGCTCCAGGCTGCTAGGCCTATTTGCTTTAATCATTGGCTATGGGATTAGGTGAGCATTGCTTAAATTGCAGAAAAGTTAGTGACAGCACTAGAATATGATGGAACTTACAAGTAATATCCCGTAGCGCAGGATGTACAGGTTCCTGGATCATCTGAAATAATAAAAATAATCATTTAAAAAAGCACAATGAGTTTCCCATCTTAAAAAATGACCATTTAGAGGAAAGAGACACTTATTTTTATTGCTTTGTCTCAAAGTAAAAATCTGGGATGTTTTTCAAAGGTCAAGGACCAGAACTTGAAGTCATACAGGTCATTTCAAGATGGCTCTTTCTAATCAACAAGAATCACCTTGACATCTGTTCTTTACTCACTTTTTAATTTCTTAATTTTGGTATAAAGGTAATTCCATTGATGCCAGGAATTCCAGTGTGGAAGTTCCCTCCACCAATGCAAACCTGCAACTCATCTGTAACTCAAAGTCTTAGAAGAGTTGCCTAGGGTGGTTCGGAGGTTGAGGGGCTTATCCAGGATCACAGAGCAAGAATGTGTCAGGCCCTCTAATCAACTGCACTGTGGATTAGCTCCATTTGTTTGTAGAAAAGGCAGGTAAAATGAGAGCAGTCAAAAATGTTGTAAACCATGTTGGACACTGACTTGCCCAGGAAAGGGCAAGCTCAAACTCTTAAAATGCCAAGGTGAGTTTAATAGCATTCATAAATTTGGATTCTGCTAAGATCTGAAAGCATTTGTGGACATGTGTTGGGACTGACAAGTGCTTCTACACACATTTAGGAAGGAATGCAGGCTTCTGACAATGAATGAGTTTCCCATCATGCCTTCTGCATTGGTAGCAATATCCTAGTCCTGACCCCCATGCAAGTTGGGCTAGTTTTTCCTTAGAAAGCATTGAAACCATCCTCAAGACTTTAGTGGCTCAGGTGACTAAAGGCCCAAGGTGTTGACAATGATTTTTGGTTGCCTGAATATAAACCAGTCCTGAAGGGCTCCAGGTGCTCTCTGATACTTGGCTGACAAGTGATCATGAGCAGCTCAAAGGGAGGGGAGCTTAATTCAGCTGAATAATTCTTGTTGAATATCTTTCTCTGCTATGGCTAAGTAAATCACCTTTTATTAACTATTGAATGAATTACAAGTATTTTATTGCCTTCCAATGTCAGACTCAAGTTATCAGAGGACTGGCTTAAGTCAGTCCCATTCCAAACCACTTTCCAGTGTAAGGAGTATCATTCAGAAGGCCCCTTTGAAATGTAGACACTTGGTTTTCTTAGTTAAGTAATCATTGAAGATTCTGTACTTCATAACCCTCTTGAAGAAGCTCTCTGTTCCCTTTAACCACAATGATTAGATATATCTCTTCTGTGAATAAAATGATCCTTTTCTTCAAAATCTTGGAACTTGAAAGAAAGATTCAGAGAGGGACCTTGAAAATTTTACTGCCCATTCATTTCATTGTCTCTATGTACTAATAGACTACATTTCTAGAGTACAACAATCTATATTTCTAGAGTGCATTCACGTTTACAAAATGCTTCCCTGAAAACCACCTTGTGAGGCAAGATGTGCAATCCCATTTTTGCCGATAAATATACCGAGGTACAGAGATGTTAAGTGACTTGCCCAGGGTCTACATTGCTGGCAAGTGTCAGACCAGTGGCTTGAACTCAGGGCTTTTGGTTCCAAGATCAGTGTATCTACCCTACATCACACTATCTGCAAGGAGATCTGAGAACCTATCCTATTTCTAAACACCTCAAGGGAATTCTACAGCACCTTTTGGCAAACCATTAGGTTAGGAAACAAGCCTCATTGTCAGTGGGCACTTTTTTTTAAGACTAGCTTCCATGATTAAGTCTAAAATAAGTTTTACCTTTTTCTGTTCTAAATGGAGAATTTCTGCCCTTCTCAAAATCCTCTTACTGCCTTAAGATTTACAGGTCAACCCCTTCTCTCATTTCTGGGCTTGCTAAAGAGATTTCCTTTAACTTGTGCTGAGAGAGAACATTTTCTAGGCCCTTAGACTTCTTTGATTTCTCTTTGAACTCTTTGAGACAATCTCTACACATTCTACAGAAGAACCATTCTAACATCATTCTGACTTAAATTTTTGGTCAAACTCATTAACTTCTTGGTAGGTCATTGGCAGGAAGAAATTTCTGCCAGTTATACTGTTACATAGCTGGTTAGACAACTGCTGATCTATTTCAACCCAAAAGGTACGGTTGAAATGGTACTGGAAGGATACCATTGAGTGTATAGATAGCCTATGTGAAATATAGCAACTGATCAGGCTCCTACCAACATAGAGTAGAGTAACTATATGCTCTTTTTCTAATTAAGTCAAATTGGTTTCATCCACCATGCCACCCAAATTTTTATCTGTTCTTTTCCTGGATACTTAGCTGATTCCTTTCTTGTATAGAGAGGTAGCTTATCTTTCCTAAAAATAGAAGAGAACTGGACTTGGAGTCAGAAGACAATTAGGTTTAAATTCCATCTCTGACAGAAGGCACCTAGGTTCAAAACTCAGCTATGTGACCATAGGCAAGTCACAGACTCTCAGAGACTCAATAACCTCATATGTTGAATGAGAATAATAATAGCACCTACCTCAAAGACTGGTTCTAAGGATCAAAAGGGATGATATGTATAAAGATGAACTATATGAAAATGAACTATCATTATCACCACCACCACTCCCACCATCCATTCTTTTTCTCCTCCTCCTCCTCCTCTTTCCCTCCTCTTTTTCCTCCTTCTCACAGAGTTACTGTGAGGAAAGAATTAATAAACTTTAAAGCCCAATATAAATTGGAGATTCAACTACATTGGCTTATTCAGTGGTTAAGTCTGACCATTTCTTAATTTGACACTATCCCTCCCCCTCAAAAAAATCTAATCCTGCTCTCCAAGGTGCTAATCATGACTCCCTCCCAGATTAATGAGCTTATTCTTTATTCCTTCATGCAAGTCACTGATGAAAATATTAGATATTGCCATGTCTAAAAAATGCATCCCCCAACACTGTTTTGAGTTCAGGGACTTTTCCTGCTCAGTTGCATGGTGAACTGGGTACAATAGTTTCCATAAATGAATAATGCATAGGACAGTAATAGTTTCACATAACACCTTATGAATGCACATTCACATCTCTCATTATTGTTAGTTACTCTAAAGAATAATTAGTTTATTTTTAAAAAGGCTTCCCTCTCAGAAGACCCATAAGCTGCATACTAGCTGGATTGCACAGTGAAAGGTAACTCCTTTGACTTGATCCAGAGGTAGGAAACCAACCTCAGGCATTTGAACTTTGTTCTAAAACAGGTTTGAGTTTGGTTGATGAAGGATGCTGTTTCACAAAGGAATATGAAGTTTCCTGGTTCCTGATATGCAGACTGAGGATGAACACACACACACACACACACACACGCACACGCACACGCACACACCCCTTAGCCAAACTAAAATTGTTAGCTGTTTTAAAGCTTGCTGTATAAAGCAGAATATTTTTCAAATATTGTTGTTATTGTCCTACTCTGACACATATTGGTTGTGTGAACCCAGGCAAGTCATTTAATCTCTTGGTACTCTTTAGGCAACTTCTCTGCAGAGAATTTGCCAACCTGCTTTGATACATAGAGTTTTCTTCATTCAAGAGTTCCCTATATTAATTAAATCACAAGTCTGATTCCTATCCCTAGCCCAAAATTATTCAGGGGACAGAGTATATTTTGATAAAAATTTGGGCAGGGGGTAGGGATATGTATGGAATAACAATGTCAGTTAAGATTCAGACAAAGCCTCACACATTTGGAGAAGAAAAGCCTTCAGAAACAATTGCTAATTTCTATCTGTTTATATCCTATCACAGAAAAATGTGTGAGGAGATGTTTTGTTTGGAAAGGATAGAATCTTTTTTTTTCTTTTTAGTGAGGTAATTGGGGTTAAGTGACTTGCCCAGGGTCACACAGCTAGTAAGTGCCAAATGTTTGAGGCCAGATTTGAACTCCAAGGTGGGAGCTCTATTCACTGCACCACTTAGCCGCCTCCTAGAATCTTTCTCTGTTGAGAAAGTTCACAGTTATTGTCTCTTTTTAGAGAAGAGGGCAGCTAGGGGTTGCAACATTGGCTGGTCTGTTATTGATAATTGATATTGATAGTTATTGATAATTCAGTGTTCACTTCTGAATTGCTGTTTCCTACTCTGGAGGCATCAATTATGGAAATATACAATGATCTCATGGAAAATCGACCCATATTGCCATAGAGATGTTGACTTCTCCTCTTGGACTTCTTGCTTACTTCCAAAGTCCAAGCAATCAGCAAGTCTTCTTCATCTCCCTAGATCATAGAGCTAGAGTTTGAAGAGGACTCAGGGGTCAATTGGTCCAATACCTTCAATTTATAGGAAAGTGAGGCCCATGGAGGTTAAATGACTTGGCATGCAATAAGTGTTTAATCTTTTGATGCCAGAGACACATCTCCCTCAATGGTGCCACACTGCCCTATCCATCTTCTCCTCTCTACTCTTGCTGCCATTCTCCTACTACAGTCCCTCATTAGGACCTCCCTAGGCTATTATAGTAACCTTCTAGAAGGTTTTCCTGCATCAGCTTTCTTCACTAAGTAACCTGTCCTTTATATAACTGCCAGATAGTTTTTCTTATGCATAGTTATGGTTTTGTCATTCCTATCCTGCTTAAAAATCTTTCTTGGTTTCCTGTTGGTTATCAAGTAAAATTCAAAAATCTTTTGCTTAGCATTGAGGGCTCTTCACGTTCTGGCAACATCATAAGCCATATTGCTATACTGCTCATTCCAGCCAAACTGTGTTATTTGCTGTCCCTCACACATGGCCTGAATTTTCCAATCTCTGTGTCTTTGTTCATGCTATTCTCTTTGCCTGGAATATGCTCCCTCACACTCTTTGCTTGCTGAATGTCTTTTCATTTTTTAAAAAATGTTTTATTTTATTTTATTTTTTATTTTTGTCTTTAGAATTTTAAAACCCCAAATCAATGCCTCTCTCACCATGAAACTTTCTCTGATTCCTCTTGTTGGTGATGACCTTTGACCTGGACATCACTTAACACTTTGTTTTGCATGTTTGTAATGCACTTATTATTTAGCG